GGGGGGGGGGGTTACAGACATCTTATATGAGTGAGACACAGAGGAAGAGGGGGAGAGAGAGAATTCTAAAAGAAGACAAGATAATTTTTTCATAAGAAGCATGTCTCTCTTATAGGAAAACAAGCTGTTTCTTAAGAAAGTGCAGCTCTAGATTACAAGTCAGTAATAGAACAGTTCCCTCCAAAGTCAGGTAACACAGATGTTCTCAGGAACTCTCAAATGGTAGCAAAAAGGGTATCTTCAATGCCCATCCAACTTGGATTTCCAAATGTCCACAGAAAAAGACGATGGAAACTTTGACCAGTGCTCAAAAGAGCAGCAGGAATTTCATTCTGGGAAGTTTCGTCCATAGGGCTCTTCCCATTGCTCCATGGCAAAATCGAATACGGGCTTTCACGCAAGAGAACAGGGCCAGGACCCTCCACGGCAGAGAAACCAGCTCATCTGAACGCACACATTTCTGTGACCGCGTACAACAGGCTTTTTCTATGCAGAGTCTGCTGGGGGCGGGAACGTGTCGCTTTAAGATTCCAGCAGACACATCATGGGCTCTCACCTGTCACAGCTGGAGCACAGGAAGACGAGGAAGGTGATGAGGAAGANGGGAGGGGGGAGACATGTCGCTTTAAGATTCCAGCAGACACATCGTGGGCTCTCACCTGTCACAGCTGGAGCACAGGAAGACGAGGAAGGTGATGAGGAAGAACGTGGCGGCAGCTGCCAGACTTCCCCACAGGACAATCTGCATGTGTCCACTGCCCAGCAGGCTCCCGGAGGGTCCCATGGCGGGAGCAGGAGGTGGCAGCGGCTGGTCAGTCAGTCAGTCCTGCAGAGCTGGTGACATCAGGGTGAGGGCCGCGTCCGCTTGCAGAGTCCAACCTGTCTGAAACAACGTCTCAGGTGACAAGGAGCCAGCATCTCAAAACTAGTCCTGTCGGGAGGAAGGCTTTGCAGAGGCAGGGAGGTGAGTGCTCTGCACTCAACTGGATCTTTGTCCCCTCACTGTCCAGGACTTTGTCTCCTCACCTAAAAACGTAAATTGGGAACATACAAGTGCCTGGGTGTCTGATCGTTTTGCTGACAGATTCCTTAAGGCCTTCAGATAAAGGACTCCAAGGACCCCAGAGCAAACACACAAATATGCATTTGGATTCTTTTTCCCCCAGACGGTGTAAAGCATTTATTACATAGCATTCACAAGATGAAGTCTGCACCTTCCCCACCGGTCTCCCTAGCTCCCCCAACCTGCTGTTCTTCCAGAAGGTTTAAGGTCAGGGCAATTAGTGCAACAGGATGTCTTTAAACTCACCCCATAAACAGTTGTCTATTCCGAATATGCGACTATTTTCCGGGCCAGCTTTCTACGCTTCTACGAACACTCCATAAACACACTTTCAGGTGAATGGGTGAAAGTCTGTGCTAAGAAGCATCACCAGCGGTAAACAGGAGTTTATGACAATGGCAAATGAAGTGAAGGACCTGCACTGGGAACGTTCTAGCACCTGGCTTGTGCCCGGGCCTCTGCGAAATGCCTTCTTCATTTAATTGCTGCCCCAGCCTGTGAAGGAGGCACTCACTGCTAACCCCGTTTTTCAGACTAGGTAGGTGAATGGCAGAGATGCCGGTTATTCCCCCCCCCCCCCC